TTTACATGCAAGCCATCATACCTTGCATCCACCGTTGGCTCGGGTCCTAAAGGACGAGTGATCTGTTTTTAAAATGCATTTTGATTTTCCACTCCTAAGCGGAGCTACCCTTACCCTTCTGACAGAGGGCGTTAAATGTATTGAGGCCCACGTGCGCGGGAGAGTATAAATTAATCTTGAATTGCTACTCCTGTGCAACGCTGGATATAAAAAGTGAAACGACTGTCACGCCACTCTCACTTTTTGTACTTCCAAATGCTTTGCCTGGACACAACCTCCGCCGGTCAATCCACTACATATGGACGTTTTGCAAAGCGTGCAGCCTCGCCCGCGAAGCCGAAAGGAATGCCGGGAACTGTCTGTATAGAACCGCCTGTGGGCGGCGACGGAGGTTACGTGGACAACCGGGAAAGGGCAGGCAAGCAAATGCGTTGCCCTCTGTCCTTCGCCGTCTTCAGTATCACGTAGTGGACGCTGAGGGTGCAAGGAGAAGCGTACAGGATGTTCCCATAATTCATTGAGCGGTTTGTGGACGTTGCCCCTACCCATACCTTCCTCTGATCACCTCGTACAGAAAAGAAACTTGAAACCGTTGCACCCTGTATTCAAGGGTTGCGCGTCTTTGGAACCATAAGCTTCCGAACACGGTCGGAAAAACACGGATCGCTTCATCGGCAATGATGCAGGCTTATTACTTGATGGAGCCCCTCTTAAATCTCTAATGTTGCTTTCGCCGGCCGCGTTGGCCCCCTCACAACGAGCACTCTCGTGGCTTATCCGCTCGCTCGCTCCTGGCCCTTTCCTTTCATCTGGAGCAACGGCGTCTGATGACTTCGCCTCTCTTTGGTGCCGAAAAGGATCGTTAGCTGTTTTGCCGAAGCCTAGTGATGACCTCGCCTCTTCGCCTTTGCAGCCTTCCTTTCACGTTGGCGCTGCATGCTGCGGTCGCTGCCTTTATGAAGCAGACTGCTTCCTTTGCTGCCAAGGGCGTTTCGAAAGATGAAATACTCGTTGGTTTTGCGTTTAGCCAGTTTTCTCTTTTCGCGTTTTGGCTCGTGCTGTCACCGGTACGTTATTATGTTACGTCAACTTTTTAAAGCGTGGAGTAGTTTTATAGTGTAAAAGAGGGCGACTCTCTATGCTTTTGTAAACTGCTATTCCTCTAATGTTTTTTGTTGTTTTCTTCTTTTTTTTTCGTTTCTGCGGCATGGAGTCTCACTCTTTCTTTCTTTAGAACATCGCTAAATCGATCCGTATTTGAGAGCGTATGCGGATGTTTTGATAAACTAAAGGTGCACGGAAAACAGAGGGCGCAGTGCTTAGTCGCAATGATAAGCCAGCCACGCAACGCTTGATCGCCGTTGTATAACTCCCAGCCGTGTCGCGGCGTGAGCACCCTGCAACGTAGTCCAGCGTTGTCAGACGCTAATGCGGAATGGGTTTTCGCTCTCAATGTTATTAAGTTTATAAATGAATGAATTAATTACGTGTCGCTGTCGAACTTCCGCAGGTTGACCTAGTTGGACTCCACATGAACGCTATTTTCCTTAAACGTTCTCTCTTTCTCTTCTTAATTTTTCTACTTCTTTTGTAGCATTCATCTATTCTTTTGACACTGAGTACTAGCGCTGCCGCGCGTGCGCATATAGTTATAAAAATGCTATAAAACACAACGAAGTCTCATTTAGTCCTTCTTGAAGCACTCCATTAGAAGCGCCATCCCTATCCCACGGTCTGCCTTTTGGTTTCGTGGCAGAGTAACGAAGGAGGCGGGGTGGTTTCTGAGCGCGTCAAGCGATCTTTCATTGCACTGCCGAGGTCATCTTGCACAAAACTACGTTTCAGCCTTCCTGACGAGAGCCAACCAAAGTGCGTCTCATCAGTCTCCATTGATGGCTGCAGAGCCCACGGATGTCCTCGGTCATAGAGAAGCGAGAACACGCGACAAGTATTTGTCCTTTTTGCGATATTTAATTTTTGTTTGACGTTTCCTTCGTCCCTATAGGATTGTTTCCTTTTGTCAAGAATATAGTCACTCTTGGTGTAGTCGTCGTGTCCTGCCTTTGAGTATATTTTACGCATCTTATAACCCCCTTTTTTTCTGAAGTTTTGTGCATACTGCATGGGGCCTGTTTATCTGGAAAACTTGGGAAACCGAATGGTACAATCACGAAAAAATGTATACAAATCATGTTTTAATGTTTTCCATCGTTTAACATCTGAATGCCGTCACGAGCTTCACTTCCACCTCAGTTTTGCTGAGAATAACCAAGACTGACAACCCTATAACTCTAACTTATCAGATAACTCAGCAATTTAACGTATAAATAACGCTAAAATGACTCGAAACCCGAGAAAACAAGAATCCCGCCACCCTCAAAACAGTTATAATGCAACTAAATGTCAACTAGCTGTGTTTGGAGGTTTGTTTGTCCTTTGTCCGCCTTGTTCCCCTTCTCCGGGGATTATTTTCGTCACCCTCATTACCTGAATTTTTTCCACTAGACAAGACTGAATATCGCTAAATAGACCAATCTCACTAAGCGACCCACGCATGCCTGACGCCGCCATAACTTTAGTAACTTTAGTTTGCAGGAGCATAGCCTCCTCTGCACTCACAAAGCCTGGCAGTTCGACGACGGGGCATAGAGTGCCCGGTCGAAGATTTGGCGCCATTCCATCGCTCGGGAGAAGTGCGTTTCGGCGTCTCGCCGCAGCGGGGCGCCCGTCGCGTGGCTCTCCTCTTATCTGTTGTCTGCCGCTCTACCTTTTCAATTTTGGCGGCCGCTTCTCGTGGCGATCTGCCAGGCTTTGTCAGTATAGAGGAGGCTATGCCTCTATACTCCGTTTTAAGCAGAGATTGCAGTCAATGCCACAAGAACGAGACATCGAGGTCGCCGCTTTGAAGCGTTCTTCCGCAAAACGAGCGCTCGCGCTACAAATACATGTCTAAAAGCCAAAAGCGCGGGCATGCTCGCGCTTTCAGGCTTTGCGTTGGCTCGGTGACGGCGGCAGCGCAGTTTCGAGCAAATTAACACGGAGCGTGGTGTGTTCCTTCCTGCAGGAAGGAACACACCTTTCCGGAGTCTGAGTTCGTTCGTCGGTAACTTCCGTCGCTCGGCGGATGCATGATGCCGAAGATTGCTGCCGTGAGTGTCGAGTGAAAGGCTCTATTGGTGAATACTTCATGGAGATATTATACCAGCCGCTGTGTTATTAAGGCCTGTTGACACATACAGCGCAGCGTTTCATCGGTGTTGTAAAAGACGCCGATGCTAGTGCGCTGATGCTTAACCGAGTTGTCGGTTTAGCGGCGATGCATCGGTGCCGTATCGCCGCTCACCGCTGTGGAACAGCACGTCGGCGATAAGACACGTGCACCACTGTAGAACCACATCGGCGATAGGTTACGTGCGAGTCGGAGCTGCATCAGCGCCGTTTTCCAGCGCCCACTCGGCGCTGCGCTGCATGTGTGGACCGGCCTTTAATCGTCTCAATAGACCCATCTCATCCAACGTTACTCTCACCAGCAAGTTTAGTAAGTCTTTTAGCACGTGCCACAATCTCGCTGGAGCACTGCGCGCGCAGAGCACGAGACGTCTCGGGCACCGCCTGCCTCCTATGAACTAAAGTTAGAATATGGCGGTTTCACGCATGCGCTGAATGCTTGGTGATATCGGTGTATTGAAGTCCCTTCAGTCGCTTGAAAGTTAAGCCGTCGTCGTTATCAGCTGGTAATGGTAACGATTAGTAGTGGTTATCTTGGGGACTCCTTTACATTGGTGAAAGTTTAGTCTAGATATTGTTGCATCTTCATCCGCTTTGCGGGCTGTCAATGTCAAATAATAAAACTCAGGTGGATTTATTTTCATTGTTTTCCGTGAGTTGTGCCCTGCGCATAGAAGGAATTTATTCGTCGGAAATATAGCAGGAGCTCAAGAAAGTATTTTAACACTGCGAAAACAATCATGTATTTTTAGCGAGAAGCCCTTGATTTTGGTGTCAATCTACCAAGTTTCAATTTTTCGTTCCTTTTTTGTTTTCTTTTTTTGCTGAGAGTTGTTACGTTGCAGAACCCTTAAGTAGGAAATCCTCAGCGGCCGGTTTCTGAACGGCAATTTTCTTGCGGAGAAAAAAACAAAATTTTGTGACATATATATATATATATATATATATATATATATATTTTTTTTTTTTGCTTATCCCTTGTATGCTGGGATTCCGTACAAACGTATGGACCTTCATTCAGACGTCTTTGAGTATATCAATTATTCTCTGGGGTTCTTGTGCAACAAGCAGCTAAGTCTATTCAACGCTTCGTGTGCCTCCTTCTCTAAAAAAAAAAAAAAAAACAGTTTTTAAAATTTTGCCACTTCTCCTTAAAAAAAAAAAAAAAGAAAAGAAAATACAACGCCTAAAATAGTGCAAACACGGTGAGTATGCAGGCGAGCTGGTGATAGTTAATCATGATGTGGTGAGGGGAAAAAAAAAAGAAGAAAACTTTAAGTCAAAGAAAAAAGCACAGCAAAAGACGTTTGACAAGTGTTCTCCTGTCAATTTTCCTTCCGCTTTAAAGGAGACAACTTTAAGTAAAGGCGCGTTCACACTCTTGCAACCGAGTACGACCGAGAAAGACTTGTTGGGACCGGATGCACTGAGCGGAGCTGGTCTTAAGAGATCGCAAGAGGCTTAAAAACCGGTTTGGTCTCTCTCGGTCGCACTCGGTTGCAAGAGTGTGAACGGGCCTTAAGTTCTTTCCTTAAAACGTGGGTCTATAAATTAAGTATTGCTCTTGTGCTCATCTAATAGAGCGCAATTCAGACGTCAGGTCAGGGTCGCGTCACGTGGAACCCTGCGCATGCGTCATACCGATAGCAGCGCCACCCTAGCGGCGTGTAAAGCCGTGCAAAAATGTAACTTAAGAAAAAACTTTTTTTTTATTATTAGCAATTGATGTAGTACAAGGCTTATTCTTGATCGGATTTCTTCTCCCTCTCCAGGGCCTGTGTGGAATCCAGGGCTACGACGACTTCCACGCCTCGAGATTCCATCTTTGCAGAAGACGTGGAGGCCTGCTGCGACGGCTACGGCGCCTCCATGTCGTGAGTTGCGCACGCGCATTCCCTTACTTCTTTTTCAGTACCAAAACACTCGAAGTTACACGCGTACGCAGGTTTTGCAAGTACGCCCTCTCGGCGCCGTCCCCTTGCTGCTGGTGTGTGTGTGTGTAAGTCGTCTGATAGGTCAAGAGCCTCGCTGAGGCGTGCCCACAGTTGCCATACTGGCTCCTCATCGATGCGTTTTCCGCACACGAGGGCCAGACCATAGCCTTTTGAAGCGTGGCAGCATATGTAGAAGTCTATAGAAAGAGATGCGATCGGAAGGCGGATTCGAACCTGCCTCCTCGTTTGCGGCCTCCGTCCTCTGATACTGCCAGTTCCCAGAATTCCATTCGTCGTTGGGGCGCGTCACGCTTCGCAAAATGGCTCGGAGCTTTCATCTGTTGTACTTGCTTTTCTTGTGTCCTTAATTTTTTTTTTTTTTTTTTTTATTACGAAACAGTATTAACCGATTCAGCTTTCAGCACTTCTCTCGTTGGAGATCTGAGTATCGAAGTTATTGATTAGCATTTGGTGACCACTCCCATCTCCAGTTATTTACGCTGTAGTAATCTTAGGAAACAGCTTTGTCGAAATGGCTTTGAGCATGAATGCTTCGATCACTGGGTTTTGAAGGAGTATGCTTAACTGCAACGAGTGACAAAATCTGCTGAAGTCATCATAACGGTTATATCTTTGCAAATTGTGATAAAAACATCTTGAGTATAACGCGAATTTATTATCATGGGAGAAAATCTGGTGAAGCCATTATAAGGGTTTTATATTTCTAAATATTAACCGAAGTTATAAGCACCTTTTGTTGAAATGTGAACCGATTTTCTTTTCTTTTATCAGCTGTGAAATTTAATTTCTTTCGTAAAAGTCATTTAAAACGTAAAGCCGGGTCACACTGCTCATCCATCATACAAACTTACAGTCTGCAAATACGAGTCACCGCAACACCCGTGGATGCCGCGTGCCAAGTTTCTCCTTGAACTCATTCCCATGCGGCATTCGAAGCACGAATCTCGCGGTGACTCGCGTTCGAATCTGTTGGCAGACTCTCTTTTGCATGATGTAGAAGCAGTGTGACCCTGGCCTTAGAAACACCTCTCGGCGACCCATGCTGGTGACATTTAATACGTGGGCGCGATGATCCGATATAGTACTTCGTGTATCCCAGGAATTAAGAATTGCGAAGTTGGTTCTTGTGAATTAGAAATAAGTGGGGAATACGCTTCAGAGTTAATGACGTCATGTTCTTCTTTCAGCGTTTTCAGAAAGGCGAAAAGGCAAACAAAATGATAAGCGTTCGATTGAGCTGGCGAAAGTGAAATCCTGTCTCAGCAACTAATATCACGGTGTAAGAGTTCTGTTCCCTTACTAAGTTTGAGCTCAGTGAGATTGACTAACTGACAGGAATAACCACATTCTTCTTCTATGCAGTCTGTGGCAATAATAAAGCATGAACACGTGATGAATAAGCCTTCCCTGTGTCTAAACTCTAAATTAAAAAAAACTCAAAATTTTGACCTGTAACTTTTATATAAACCTTAAGTTAATTTCACAGTTTTCCGATATTTCTATAGATAAGTTACTTTTTACAGTGGAGCTGTTAAGGGCTAGTTTCCTCAGTTTCGTGTCCGGTACCAAACAGATGTCGACACAAAACTACACAAAACTCTGGACAGCTACCGCCATCTATGAGCGACGGTGGCCACCAGACAACCAGCCTGGTTGCCGCCGTCGCTCATGGATGGCAGCAACCTTTCCAGCTATCATAGTAGAATGGATAGTTGTTGGTGGGAATTTATCGTAGGAAACAGCGCTCAAAACAGACGAGGACGAAGAAGAAACACACAAGACGAGCGTACAGCCGAACTGGAAAGGCTAAAAGTTTTTTTTTTTTTTTTCAGCTTCTGTTATTTGTTTCTCTATTTCTTTTTTATTAAAAAATTTCGTGTGTTTGTTTTTGTTGTTTTTTTCGCTGTTTTTCTAAGGTTCTATGGACCTTGTAATGTATAAGTTTTGTAAACTAGATCGGGATTTTCTTTTTAGTTTTCTGACATAATTGCCGCGATGCTTTCTACGTTCCTGGATAGACTTTCTTATTATAAATAGCTGTTCTTGAAGCCAGAGGATTGTGTGGAAAACGCTTTATGCTCTCTCTCTCATTTCTCGTGCTCACGGGACACTGAAACAATTTCCTGTTTCTGTAAGTTGAGCTGTCCTTGAGACGTCCGTGTTGCGACCCAGGTAACGCCAGTCTCGTCTGCCTCTCACCGTGCGCATTGCAACAACAACTGCTTAATTAAGAAACGCCGGACGTGCCGACCCTCGAACATCCCATTATCGTTCCGCGTCCAGTCAGATTGCGCCTTATACCGATAAGAACGCCGAAACACCAATCACGACGCGGGAACACGATAAGCCCCGCCCCGCTTTTCTTGAGCTGTCGAAAAAAAAAACATCGTGCGGGCAAAGCTGTTGCTCCCGCCCGTTCCTCCACCCGCTATTTATTGACCATAACCCAAGAGAAAAAATTGAGCCATTCTTAACTCGCTTTATTATCTTGCAGCTAGTATATATATATATATAGACTTACTCGAGCCAAGTAAAGAAGAAAAAGAAATACCCATACCGTCTTGAGGGTTTGAATCTCAACGAGATCTGCCTGCGGATACAGGTGCTGCGAGTAGATTTCGGTCGTCCCTCGGTCGTTCAGTTGTCATCGGCGAACAACGAAGAGTCTGACGGGGCACTGTCTCTCGGGTAAACAATTCCGCCCTGTCATATGCGTGTTGTCGTTCGTCTCGAGTCCTTTGTCCTTCGACTCGCCTCTCGGGTTCGTCGACACAAAGACAAACTTCCGCCGATTCGCCGACAAATTAGAAGAGTGTTCCGTCAGTGTATACAGACGTCTACGCGCACTACAGGTGGGAAAGGTGAGGTACACATCTGCTTCAAATGCGCGCATATGCTTTGAGCAAGGATACACACTGTCTGAAGCGCGTGTTTCTTTCTTGTGTCCTGTTACATTGCTCGTACAAAAACTGTCAGCAGTCACGTCTACACATGCATGCATGAAGGCGTGCTCGAGGCGCGTTCGCAGATAATTTTGTCGTCGGGTTTGTAGTCGTTGTCTTTTGTGCAGTGTTGGCGGTAACGTGTTACAAGTAACGGCGTTACCGGTAACAGGTTAATTTTTCTGTAACCTATAGTAACCCACACCCGTGAGCGATATGAGGGTGAACAGCCCTCTTCTTGTTTTTGACGCTCCTGCAAGTTTTGGAACTAGCTTTGTTCCAGAAGAGGGCTAGGACGCAAAGTTTAGACCCCCTAAGCCACGTACCATTTGAAACGTTGAGAGTTAATATAGCTTTAGGGAGCCGTAAAACAGGCAAGAAACCAGGTAAAGTGTTCGCCTTCATATTGCCGGCTGGTGTACGTGTTATTATTTTTTTTTTCCATAAGACAGTTACGGGTAACGTACTGGCTTTACTCATTTCGAGTAATGGGTAACGTCGTTGCGTTACTCGTTACACATTTTTCCCAAAACCTAAAAAAAAAGGACGCTTAAATTTTTTTTCTGTGTTTTCTATACTCTGTTTTACCCTTAGTCGAGACGCAGCCTATTCGCTATACGAGTCGATGAAAGCAAGCAGACAATTTCAGAAGGACACCGCCACGGTGTCCGCCATGTTGATGTACGCGTTCGATCATCGCTAAACCAATCATAAACAATAACAAAAAAAAATCCCAGTGACTTGCGTTTTTTGACGCTGGTTGATAGGTCCCGTTAGCTCGTATAGTTTTGGCTGCGTCTGAACATTAGCTGAATCGGAGTATAGACGCCAAGTCATCGATTATGGCACTCATTCCAGATACCTTCAAAATTTTTTACTCTCTTTAAACGCCCACGCCTTTTGTTGCCATGTCAAAAAACGCTGTTGCCAAAAAGAAAAGGAAAACGGGTGGTACCGTCAATTTATAAAGAAAAAGTAACGCGACACTAGCGTGCGTTACTTTTTTACCGGTAACAGTAGCGCGTTTCTTTTGTTTTGAGATAAGGTCGGTCTGTAACGCGTTCTCTTGATTTACTGGTAACGAGTAACCTATTTCGTTACTTTTTTCGGTGACGCTTGCAACACGGTTTTTGTGTGATATAGGAACAGTGTGGGGGCTGCGGCTTTAGGGTAGCGAGCAGTTGGCAAAATTGAATGGAATTTCCGTATGATGACGTCATCTTCGAGGTTGACCAATCAGTGCCTGCCACCCCTGGCGCAGCGCGGTGCACGGGCGACGTAGTCAATATCGCCAGCTCAACTGCCGATCACGAGGGAGTCGATGGAAATGACATGACATTGTGCCGTTTGGTAGGAGTAGCGTTTTTGGCTTTTCTTGGTGAATTTTGTGAATTGCGAGGCTTTTCACTAAGACAGCCGATTCTTCGGGCTTTCTGCAGAAAACAAGCTTTTTTTTTTTAGACTTCGTACGTACTTTATTTAGTCAACCTTCTGTGTTAGACAAAGGTTCACTATTCGTTTCTGAGCACACTTTTGTAAAGGTGCAGTACATTTTTAAACAAATATTTTATTACGTCCTCCTCTATTCTGTTCGTGTCTCTACCGATACCTTATCTTGACCGTACTTTTGTATCACTATCATCCGGGCGTTTCTGCGAATACTTGAAAAAAATACCTACAAAAAGGGTCGTTAAGAAAAAAAATAAAGGCCAGCTACTGAAGACGTCGGATATCGCATATAACATATTAATTAGCAAAAGCTAATTAACTTTTAAATTAGTGGAAGTAGACGCGTGAGTTCAGTTAAAAGCTGGCTGAGCGTCATCGGAAGCCCCTAAATTGTTTTATTTTTCGGGTGGCTCGAAGAACATGGGAAGCCCGCGGATGAGCTAATGTTGTCACTCGTAGAGCAGGCATGAAAGGCTGGCGATGTGAGAACGACCAATGATCTTCTTATCATCCTCTTATCTAATCTTT